CCAGCCACACGACATCTTTGGCATTTCCAGAAAACAATTTGCCTCTCAAAATACTAGAAGTTTCTTGGTACCAACGTGTTTATGAAATTGAATGTAATGCCGCGGGCATAACTTTTTGTAAATCCAATTCCTGCGTTATTCATTAAAAAAAATCCGTCTACTTAACCGTAACTACTAAAGGTAAAATTAACACGTAACGGCTCAAAAGCTAGTTACAATTTCCACCACCAATTGACATGCGATGTGTCTTCTTATTTCGGTCAACCAGTAAATATTTGAAATGTTTTTCATCCTTCAAATATATATGAGTATATACTGGCAGCTGGAACTAATGAAATACTGGTAAATTTGGATTCCTAAATGATGCTTCATTCTATTGGGCAGAACAAACCTTTGTAACGTTTTGCAGGTAGTCAACTACGACAAGGATTCAGTCACAGGGAAGTTCACTTTTAAATAATTTAAAATTTTCTTCATACGTCATGAACCTGCAATTTTGCCTAGAAAATATTCTCAACTAACTCAGTCAGAGGAATGGTATATTGCAAAACTGTCAAGTCGAAAATAAGACTTGAAAAGTCTACCAAGTAATGGTGGGATTGTTGACGAAATAAACATTCAGAAAATTAAACGTTGATATTTTAAGTGAGTTTAGGACTTCACTCAACAGTGAATCCATAATTTCTTTTTTTACCATGTGGTAGAAAATTGTTTTGCCTGCCAAAAAGCTTTAAAAAATCTGAGATGAATATTCCATATAAAATCATCTGAAAAATGATTATGCCTATTGGGTAAGTCCACAATTCTCCAAATATCCTTGTAAGCGCCCTAATTATAGGAAGTCAGCAATATTTAAACTAACCAACATAGTATTTATTGTGACGAATTCGAGGAACAATTTGAAGTCACTAAAAAAAGGAAAACTAAATTAATGATATACGATCATCAAAACATAGAATAGTGCCAGGAACGGTGAAGACTAGTTTGAATGCTTCAAAAGGAAACTAATTCATGCAGTGGTTGCTGCAGACAACATACTGGATTCAATAACTAACTTTTTATAAACTAAATTAAACAGGTGTTTAACAGTTGAACTACAGAACAGTTCAAATACCTCACTACACAATACCCAGCAGTGTAGTTTTAAGGGTCATTTCCGGGCTGCAAAAAAACAACATCTAGAACAAATTCAAGTAGATGACTTTATAAAGCTTTGAAAACTGCAGCACGTATTTAAAAATCCAAAAAAAGTCGTCTTTATGCATTTCTGACAGCCAACGGAGCAGACGAAATTCACTGAGTATAAAGCAAAATGGCCGCCAGGAAAGAGGACGACGTCGATAATACCGATACTTGGCAAGTCTGCAATAAACTCGCACTTGCTAGATAGCCTTCCTTTTCCTTTCCTACATTCCACTAATCCGTCGTCTTTTCCAGCCTTCTCCCTTAACACGCATAATTATAGGATCATTTCGTGGTTGTTCAAAACACCACAGCTGTCTCACTGGACGTCCTCTTTTAATATCTCTGAGTTCCCCAAATAACGCAGGTTATTCGATAGTACAAACGTCCATCCTCATTCAATGTCTGTCAGCAAACAAGTTGGCACTACGCTCATAGGCTGACGTCGGTAAGAAAAAAACAGAAAACTGACCTCCCTTTCTCTTCCAATCCTTCTTAGCAACGTCATCATAGCGCACTGAAAAACCGAAATTATACCGCTTTCTGGCAATATTTAAAGGTTCATAGACTTAAACTTTGTAGAGAATTCCTTTACAGGAATGAAAATAGAAAAAAAATGATATTTCAGACAAAAAGGTAGTGCTGTAGGGCTGACGCGTCTCAAGAAACCACTAAAGCAGCATCCAATTTTAAAAAAAATTTGAGTCATGCGATATCAGAATGAAGACTTAAAAATCGTTTTGGGAACTAATACCATTTCAACAATACAAATTGTGACATTTAAAGTGCAAAAAAACAATAAAATGCTGAAGTTACTCATAATCAAACCAAAAATGTTTATTTTAACAACTTCAAAAATATATTTTCCGACCAAACAATTTACCACTATTTAACAGATTTAAATTATAAAAATCTCGATGTACCAAATAAATTCCCCAAAATTTCTTCATTCTTCATTCACGAAAATAATACGCAAACATAAAAGTTAAAAGGCAAAAACAGTAAAAACATTGTTGCTCCATTGAAAAAATGTTATTTTTTCCTTCCAGTAACCCTTATTTTACGCTAAAGCTGAAGTCGTGAAAAACATTTCAATTTTTTTCTAAAAACGTATTAATCGGTTCGAATTGTCATCAGGAGCAAAACTCTTATTTAAAACCAACGAATGACCACAGAAAACATTTTTCAAAAAATAGCTGAACAAACATGCAAGATAAGTTCAATGTTTCTACAATAATATTTGCTGTATTCAGCACTAGCGAAGAGACAGCTATAAAATGCTAATAATCAACTATGCCAGCTACTAATTGAAAATTTAGACTTCAGTTGTCAAACTGAAACGCAACAATAAAATTCAAGAAAAAAACCTAGAGCAATTAAGCAGTTGAGAATCGGATGCTATAAAGCATTTCAAAGACATGTAACAATGACAAAAATTTAGGAGCATCGCAATAGTAAAACTCAGATAACATTGTAATGATACGTTAATGCACTTTGAGAAACCGTAAATAAATAAATAGATAAATAGATAAATAGATAAATATATATATATA